CAAACATCAGCTAACCCTTTCCCGATTTTTTTTGGGTTCCCTCTTACTCCAGACCCTTATTTACCTCCCTAGTCCCCCTTCTTCCTAGTTTTTCCATTAGCATATACCGAGAGACAACAACTCGGGGGCAGCCGACAGTGAAGAAAAATTAAATTGTTGAACACGAACCAGGGCCGCACGCACGTCAGTAGTCTCCTCCCACCCACTCCATTCTCTCCATCCATGGATTGTCTAGCACTACTGTACTGTATTGCTTGAGCCCTGTTATCACGATAGACGAATTCGTCAAACTAACTAAAGCATCTACTAGACTTGAATTAGAGTAGCAAGATTTGTTAATAGTTGAAACGAAGCGCGCGATTGTCGTTCGGTAGAAACAAACGCCTAATCCAAGTAAGTAATCTTACATACGGGATTTAGCTCTGGCATTATTGCCCAGACTAATTTCCCCCCCAGAGAACCCCAAATCAAAGTCGCTTCCCGCACGTCTGGGTCGTCTACACAAGCGTTATTCAACCATCCCCTCCGTCAACGCTACCGCCACACCATCGGCATACGCAGTGCCGCATCCATACTAAATCTTCGAGATTGATAGCATTGAACTCATCGATTCCTAAATCAATTTAAGCTACACCGAAGTTTTCTATCGAACTGTCAATTGACATCACGTGTATAAGTATTAATCAAAAGACGACTTACTTATCATTCCCCGTCAACGCTTCGCAATTGTGCAGGGGCTTGCCAAGGATTCATCCGAGGCTTTGATATCTCTCCCTGCGCTAGTCACTGTAAGTTAGCTTCCATCATTAGACAATATTCCCATGGGAAAATCAACAATGACATCGATATCAATCAATATCAATCAATATCAAAGACTTTTTGAAGCTTTGAAACTTCCAATCTCTGTGTCAGGAGAAGATTTTTGATCTATTTCGTAAAGAGTGCATTTGCGCCTTATGCGCATCTGCTTCACCCAATTTTAATTGATTCATACTGACAGATATAAGTTGTCCAACATTAATCATTTTGCGGGCCCAACAGACGGGATTTATCCAGTCTTCACCTCCCTCTGCCACCAAGAAACAAATATTCATTACAACAAATCTATCAAAGCATTGTGGATAGACACAATTTCAATCCTTTATTTACGAAGATACAAGTTAGAGGTCTACGACGACGCGGAGCTTCTATCGCACTTCTATCCCTCGACTCACTTCCGAGAATTGTTTATTAACACAAAAGAGGGCACGACGCGTCGTGGGTAGTTTCTGCCATTTGCTAGCCCAGACATTTAGGGGATATCAACTGGATAAAATAACCGTAATCGTACGAATTTCTTCAGATCATTCAACTAACCACCCACACCAAGATCCTTCTGGGTATTTGTGGTCGGGCATACGCTATAACTTCCCTCGATACCTACCATACCAATCACGGCCCAACCCCGTACACTACAAACGGCAGTATCAACTGAAACGATTCTCCATTCGGAAGAGCTACGATACAAGTCTCCTGTCATTACTTGTCCTATATCCACCACTTTGGAGACAAGATCGGACGGACAGAATCATTGCACGACACGCCAAAATAGTAATAATAGGGGTATCAAGTCGTCGAAGAAGATCAATCATATCCGTTTATTCAACCTAAGAGAGGGCACTTTTCAAGTGCATCTTCGTGCCTTCAGTGAATTCCAAAGCAAAAAAAAGCAAAAGCAAAAAAAAAAAAAAAAAGGATTGTCTGCATCGTCAAGCAGACTCTCAGGTTCTTCCTCCAGACATCGAGACGTGACGGCAGTTCGTATTACCTCCGCAGATATCCGTGAGATTCCGCATTCAATTCAAACCGTCGTCATAAGTATTTGTAATACTACGAGTTCGACTTTCCCCTCTCAGCAAAACGGCAAAAAGTGTTCTGGACTCTCCTCTGCATCATCATATCGAAAGATTGAAACGCGCCCCTCACTGTGACCAGGATAATATTGTGAAGAGAAGTGGGTTTGCGAACAGACCTAGATTCTCGCTCAGTAGAAGTCATCGAAATTAAGGTTTAGCAACTCTCAATCATAGGAATTAAACATTAATTGCCGTGACGAGACATCTTGATATCGTGTCATCGTCACATAGACACATTCGCCAGGAATTTTTGGCATTGAGAATAAGGATTGCAAAGCGATCTACACAGTACTCTTGTCCAAGACTTCTTAGACTCGACGCTAAAGGTAATTTTGACGCACTTCAACTGTATCCTCGCGATTATCAGCTGACGGAGGCCTTCTCATACAGGCATAGCGCATACACGATTCAGTCCCAGCGATTTCCAAGTTTACCAGGTTGGCCATCCATTGCGAAACGGGCGTGCAACGATTAATACCACCATTATTGCCGGACTCTCACTGCCAGACTCTCACTGCCAGACTATCACACTCAACGGCGTCTCCTGCTACCTAGGGCTTACGGTCGATTCCCAAGAACGATCGTTTTCGTCCGTCGATACACTTTGGTGTCAACTTCACTAGCAGATACAACTAACATCTCTCGCATTCACACATTGCCAATAAGTCTCCAATATCTACTACGGCCACGCACAAACGGGACTAGCTCCTCGCTCGCCCGTCTCCCCAACGCAGCAGAACCGCAGAACATCTTGGACACTGATCCCTCATCCGAAAGCCAAGGAATCATCATTGTTGCTTACTCATTCATTATTTGTGGGATCTCGAACAAGCCATTGAGAGCCCTCGGACAATCAGACCTTTTTCTCTTTCTTTGAACTGACGCGAAAGAAAAGAGAAAGAAAGTTTTCCGAACCCCACATCCACTATCCCAAACCAAGCATACCGAGCCATCATTTTTTTTCTTTCCCATTGCCAATTGTTCACAATCGCATCTGCAAGTGAACAAATCTGATGCCGCACGCTCGTGGAAGTGAATTGAATCGGATCTAACGAATTTATTCCCTAGTTGAGTCAAGCGGGAGAAGGTGTTGGAGAAGATTGAAATCCGAGCTGCAGTCGACCAGAGTTCTAGATAGACACCAAGCACGAGCAAGCTCTTACGATAGGTACTTGGGATAGGTACAGTAGGATTCTACGACACTACGACACTACGACACTACGACACCACTACGCACGCGCTATCTACGACGCCACTACAATAAAGCGAAAGTTTAAAAAGCACAGACTCAAGACACCGAAGCAGGAGCAGGAGCAGAAGCAGTAGCAGAAGCAGAAGAAGCCGAATTACCAGAACCGCAGGCACGCATTAATTCTATAGATTGACACCCCGCCCTTTACTAAAATCGCATCTCATCACATCACATCTACACGCGAAAAGTGGGTAACCCAGCAATACAATCAATACCTCCCTGGTATTACCTACGTAGGTACCTTGCAAGGATATTGTACACTCGGAAATCGGTAATAAAGATTTGCCACTTTCCCGCTTCTAGCGATTTGTGCGGGTGAAGCAGCGATTCGATTGATGTGATTGGTTGAATTCGATTCAATTCACTTCGATTCATCAATTGAATTTTTTTATTAATTTTTAATTTTTCTCTCTCTCTCTCTCTCTCTCTCACTTTTATTGTGGAGACGTATTGGAAATTCATATTCATAATTTCTTCATCCGCCCAAGGAAAAAAGACGAGAGGAATTCAATTTTATTCATTGACGATCATTGCTCTGATCATTCCGAGGCACTTTCATCATTACGGAGCATCGGGACCTCCCAAGTATCAAATCAGCATCAATCAGCATCCATCAGCATCCATCAGTCAACCCATCACATCAGTCAATCCATCCATCCATCAATCACTCACTCTCATCAGTATCAGCATCAGCCACTCTTACTTATTCCTCTTACCTGGACCTTTTACATTTCACTCTTCACTCTTGTACGGTAGAGTACGGTACTCCACAAAACTCTGATCTTTTTTTCTCTTCTTTTTTTTTCTTCTCTTTGATTATTAATAAGAAGAAGAAGAGTTGAGGATTCCCCCCCAAAAGATTTTACCTTTTTTTATCTTTTGATCATTGAAGAAGCCACCACCTTCAATCTAACCATCGATCTAACCTTGGAACCATCAATCAATCATCCACCATTAAATCAATTATTCACCATCAATTGAATTGAATTCAATTCATCAATTCACCTATTACTACCACACTACCACCACTACCATTACCACTACCACTCACACTTACCTCGAATTGGCAATCCTAACAATCAATCCAAACCACATTCATCCATTTATTACTCGCCTTCCTTCCTACCTTGTTACATACACACACCTCTACTCTACCTCTTGATTTCCCAATTCCCATCATCCTCTCTAAATCTTAAAAGTCTTAAAAAGGTTACGGTGATTTTTATTACACACCACCCACACACCACACACACCACACATACCACACATACCACACATACCACACACCACTACACACGCTACACTAGCGTCAACCTCTTTTTTAAAAAAAAATCTTTATTAGATCATCATCGTCAAAAATATATTCCATCCAACCCACCGCAAACCTTTGCAGTTTGAGTCGAACTTGACTCGAACTTGACTCGGTTTCCCAAGACACCGGTCTTCGGAAACTTTTGGCCAACTCCAGTCTCTAGTCCTCGAGTCTTGTCCATTTGGGGAATACTCCACACACTACCTGCTCACTACCAAACTTGATCATCAGAGTTTCGATCTTCAACTATTTACTAAACTTTAAATCCCATAAAGACCCATATTCCATCGCAGTCCAAGCATCATAAGTTGCTTTCTCCTCAAAGTTAGTCTCCTGGGCTTTTCGACCAATCAATTGTCCTTTCCGTCAACTTCTCTCATCACTCGAGAAGTCTACTTAAAGGGCCTCGTCTCCCAAATTCTAAAAATAAATCGACACCAGCTCCTTCTTTCTTACTTTCGACGGACTCTCATAAGTTTCAACTTGAAGTATACACTAGGCAACGTCAAGTCGATACTCTAAGCATCTTTCCAAGTGTGATATGTCCCTGGCCTCCACACAGCATCCCTTCAATAATACTTTACCGTCAACTTCATCCACCACCGACCTTGAGAGTAAGAATCCCCCTGACGAGACAGAAGCAAACATAAGTACGATTATTGGGGCATATACAAACGGTCAGAAGCACACCTCTATGGAACGAGGGTCTACCGCATACACGCAGTCAGGTTTGCAAACGCCCTATCCACACGCCTTCACAGACGCTCAATCTGAAGAATCCCCTGCAGATAATACATCTGCTGCGCAGTATCCACCACAACACCAAGACGTTCGTTCGAACCAATACTCAACAACAGCTACTCCCACCTCCGAGTACGGTGCTGCGTATCCCCCATCGTCGGCGCGTTCAGCCAACTTTGATCATTTACACAGAGCACATTATTCGGGCAATAATAGCAATAGCAGTGGAGGAATGGCTCAACCAACAAGTCCGTCAATACCTTTGCAAGATGGCCGTTCAACCCATCAAACTTCGCAAATCAAATCTGACCAGGATGTTCCTATAGATCCATCAATTGCGGCCTCCAGCCCAACTTACCCTCCGTACAACCCACAGCACGCCACATACTCCGCACAAGAACAGATGCATCACCCATATCCCCCGACACATTCTGGCGGCTCGATGTACTCGCAACCAAGACCCAATTGGCACGGTTACGCCGACCCCTCTGCCCCTAATCCTAATGTCGCAAACCACCCAAATCACCCAAATGTCACAAACCATCCATCCGGAATGGTACCCACTCCTTATACTTCTGCCAGTCCTCAAGCCCAGTCGCTCCCCGCTTCCGCTGGACGACCTAGCCAAGTAAGTCTCATCTTCTCTATCCCGTTCACTCGGTGCGCGCATTCCCCGCGTGAGATCCAAAGCGCGCGTCGCATTGTTTTGATGTGCAGAACGCGGCGCGAGAATCGACGCGTGATTTTCACCCCCCAGATCTTTCCTTTCATTGTCACTTGGCAGAACAACTAAGAATTAACAGGACGCGCGCTTACCCCAGATTTACTCATTTGTCCCAATCCCTGGATCTAGTCAACAGAAGCGACCTAGAAGACGATTTGAAGAAATTGAACGTATGTATAAGTGTGGACATCAAGGATGTGAGAAAGCGTATGGTACATTGAACCATCTTAATGCTCACGTAACCATGCAATCCCACGGAAACAAACGTACACCAGAAGGTATGTTGATTTTTTTCCTTACACGTAATTCTACATTCATTCGTTGGACCGCCGGAGAATTATTCTTCTACATGTGCCCCTTCAGGGTTTTTGCATTGTCTTTACGAGTAATTTGTCGGGGCCAAGTGCCATTTACGGGTGGTTACAAGAGGCGTTGGACTAGGTCTGACATCGATTGGCTATAACCTTGCTCACTAGCATGGATCAAAAGATGCCGTGAAACATTGGCAAGCTAACGTCTGGTGTTTGCAGAATTCAAAGAAATCCGGAAAGAGTGGAAAGCTCGCAAGAAGGAGGAGGAACAGCAACGCAAGGAGCAAGAAGTCGCTCGTGCCGGTGGTGCTCCCGCTGTTCCAGAAGCCCATCCGGAGGCCGGCTCTGCGGCCTATTCGCGGTCGACTGTTCAACTTCCACCCATCTCCAACCCCATTGGGTACCAGCCTGGTGCACAGGTTCCAAACCAATACCAGCAAACCCAAACACCAGCTTCTTCCGTCCAACATTTACAAGGCTACGGCAATGGCCAGCCAGCCATGGATCACTACACCGGGTACCCAGCTTCGCCTTACGGGTCAAACCATATGTATAGCCACCAATGTCATTATCCCCTCACTTCTCCCCATTGCTTGACCCGGAGCTAACATTTACTTTAGCTAATCCAGCTCAAACTAAGTATGAGCATTAAGTTGTATCATATGTAACATATCTGGGTTTGCGTTTGAGGTTGTTCGGTTTTGCAAGTTTTCCTTTTCAAAGTTTTTAGAAGGACCTTTTCTATTCGGTTCGCTGCCGTACATGATGCAAATATTTGATGATCACGTTGTTCTATGTGGAAAACACGGTACATGGGGTGGTGGATGGTTGTATTCTCTCGCATTGGTTATGGCTGTTATTACCTCTTTGGAGGATTGAATACACGCCACTTTTTTTTATTTTTCATTACTTTGCACGCAAACGGAACGGGGTTGGGGAGTTGACATACACGCATGAGGGGTTTGATCCGGGTGTGGCTGTTAGGCTTCATGGTGCGTGAAAACAAAAGGTTTTTTTTTTAGTAACAGGCAAAGAAAGGAGATGGGGCATTCAGATTATTTTGCCGGGTTTGAAAGTCTACAACTTTATGTTTGCGGGCTATGTTATTCTATTAGTTTTAATGAAGAAACGAATAGTCTGACAGCATTTTCGCAAAATGATTTTATTGTTGAGTCTGCATATCATATTGTATGAGCGTTACTGGGACAAACTTGGGCAAAAGTTTATGTATGACAAAGCAACCAATGATGAGATTCCATTGTTGGTAATTGTTAGTACGATAATCAAAGAAACTTGTTGACCTATAGAAATTTTGATTTTTGAATTCTGGATTGTTTAGTTTGGGTGTATATATGATGGTGATAGTGATGTTGATATTGATATTGATATTGATATTGATGTTGATGTTGATGTTGATATTGATATTGATATTGATATTGATATTGATATTGATATTGATATTGATATTGATATTGATATTGATATTGATATTGATGTTGATATTGATGTTGGTGTTTCATTCTACTGACATTGGGAGATGATGGCGTATGGGGAGAGGGAGAGGGAGAGGGAGAGGGAGAGGAGAGGGAGAGGGAGAGGGAAGAGGGAGAGGGAGAGGGAGAGGGAGAGGGGAGAGGGAGAGGGAGAGGGAGCGGGAGAGGAGAGGGAGAGGGAGAGGGAGAGGGGAGAGGGAGAGGGAGAGGGAGAGGGAGAGGGAGAGGGAGAGGGGAGAGGGAGGGAGAGGAGAGGGAAAGAGTAGTGGAGGGGGCAGAACACGATTATTGGAGATTAGATAGGAGAGTAGGGGAGTAGGAGAGTAGGGGATTATATTTGTTTGTTTTTTTGTTTGTTTATTTGTTTAAAATTTAAAAATTACTTGTAGGGAGGTGAGAGAGGGAAGAGGGAAGAGGGAAGAGAGGGAAGAGAGGGAAGAGGGAAGAGAGGGAAAAGATACGTATATTCATTCTACTATGACTATGATTATGAGATACCTAGGTTGAGTTGGTATGGTATGAGGAATTCGCATATTTCAGTAGATGGGTGTGGGTTTTTTGGTATTGGATTTGTTGTGATTGTTTTGTTTTGTTATAGGAATGATGGGTGATTAATGATAGATAGATGATAGATAATAGATAATAGATAATAATAGATGATTAGATGATGATAGGATAAATCTGATAGATAGATGATTAGATGATAGATAATAGATATATTTTTTTCCTTTTGAGGAGGAGGAGAAGAGAAGGAGAAGGAGGAGGACATCGTAGCTGTGAATGGAGGAGTGGAAGTTTGTAGGCTGTGAAGTGGAAGTTGTAGCTGTGAAGGGTGTGGAAATGTAGATGGAAGTGGAAATGTAGATGGAAGTGGAAGTGTGTATTGTCCTCTTTGATTCCAAGACCCCTGGGGAGCAGAGTTTCCAGAGTGATGGGGAGAGTGATGGATGTACGGTATGAGGGAGGGAGATGTGTATGTTATGATGGTTGGAAAAGTAGGATGTGTGATGTGTGATGATGTGATGTGATGTGATGTGTGATGATGTGATGTGATGTGATGTGTGATGATGTGATGTGATGTGATGTGAAGTTCATGATGAAGTTCATGATGAAGTTCTTGATGAAGTTCATGATGAAGTTCTTGATGAAGTTCTTGATGTTTATGTTTTGATGGGTTGAGCTGAGTTGAGTTGAGAATGATTATGATTGGGATGAATATACGTCAGTCAGTCAGTCAGTCAGTCAGTCAGTCAATGAGTCACCTGGGAAAAGCAGGATATATGATAATATGATATAATATAATCGTAAGGAAATTCACAATGCTCATGCTCATGCTCATGCTCATGCTCATGCTCATGCTCATGCTCATGCTTCTACTTTGATAAGTCGAATTGAGAATGAATACTATTCCTCCATCTACATCAGTCAGTCACTCACTCACTCACTCGGAAAAAGATGCTATGCTATAAGCATGAGGAACTCGATGATGTATTACCGGTATGCTTTGTTGAGTAGGTAGAGAATGAATGATGAATGCGATTCTGGACTCTACGTCAGTGGAAACTTGGAAGATGTGATGATATGATATGATGTGATATGACGATCGCTTTCGAGAAATGTAATTTGTGAACTTCACGTCACGTACGTCAACCTACTAGTATAATGCAATATTCACTCTTCTGTGATACTGTAGCGAAAATATGTTTCCTGATGGATGGTTAGGTTGTGATACACTTTAATCTATTGTGATTTCTATATTCGCATTCGCAATTCGTAGTTCCCAATATCCTAGAGAAAGAAACTCTTGGTACATCTCTATCTCCACCTCCTCACAATCCATCTTCTTCCCTCTAACCCCCCCCCATCAACCCATCCATCTCCTAACAACAAGAACAAAATCAAAATCAAATCTCCACATACATACACACACAAACTCCACTCTCCCTCTCCAGTCCCGTAACCAAAAAACCTCACCTCCACACCCAATTCTCAGATCTGCATCTCTCATTTTCCCTTTTCGCTTTTCTTCTTCCTATCTCTTGGCAACGAACAAATCTTCTCTAGAAAAAACCAGCGTATACGTAGATAATCTTCCTCGGTATGAGAAAGTGATCAAAGAAAGATACTGTAGATACAATTACCACGGATTGGGAATGTAGCATTAGAAGAGAAAGTTTATTTCCGGATGATGGGTGGAATGATGAATGCTAGGGGAATGATGCAGAATGATGTGCATTAGTGTTGGTCGGGCGATAGACCAAGATTTGATGTTGGAATGGCTCGAATGGATTGGATGGGTGGGGATTATTGGATGGTTAGCGTGGAGTTTAAATGCGTGAGGAGTTTTGAGTTTGTGAGCTTGTGAGCTTGAGAGTTGGGAAATGAGGCTAGGGAATTGGATGGTCATGGATGGGATGAGCTGGTTGCGTAGGGGGCTAGGGGATTGGGTTTTGATGTTTTCTGTCATTGAATATTAAATATTAAATATTAAATTTTTAAACATTTTCAATATTTCAACTAAGGAATATCTATCCTCGGTAGATCATGCCATCATACATCATACTAACTCAGTAGATCCAATGCCCAAACTAGTTTCTCTTGGTACCAATATACCAATATTCTAAATTACCCGAGGGGACAACATTGTTAATTTCAGATGCTTTGGGAGCCGGAGTGAGTAGCGTGGTTGTGAGGAAACGTAAACATTTTTATTACGCGAATAATGTTGTTGCACTGAGGGGTGTGGATAGTAAGTAATAGAAAGAAGATGGAAAGGCGATCGGTTTGCGGGAAAGCATATCCTGGGAGGAGAGGAAGGGAGTGGGGAGATGGGATGTGAGTTTGAATGTGCATGGTAGGTTTCGTGAATATCGAAGGGGGGTGGGGTGGGGGGGGGGGGGGAGAGAGAATTTCTCTTTGGGAGATGTAGATTTACGAGACATGGATAGAGTTTGACAGTATTATTATGTCTATCATGGCTATCATGATTATCATTATTCTCGTAGATACATTCAACGAAGGAAAAGAAAAGAAACAGATGGGAAGTGCACCGAGATAATCTCTGAAATGATGACGAGGAAGAACTTATGACATTGATAGAGAAGAAACGGAATGATCACTACACTGCACTACGAAATATCGAGTTCCCGACTGAGGAGCCTAGGATTTTCAGATGAACTCCGTCTGTGGAAAGTATGATGGGCATAGTTATCAATATGGATATGTCGATATCGTAGTTTCTGTTTTGCGATATGGTATGGTCCTTAGAATTCTATCTCGGGTCCATCTATTTAGAGAGCTTTATTTATTCCATGGATGATGAATAGTTTGAAGATTTGCTTTTCAATCGTTGGGCACATGTGATTTTACTCTTTCTACGGATATCGAGGAAGAGTAAATCATAATACGGGACTTTTTCTCTATTACAAAAACGATGAGTTCCCATATGTACCTAGATACTGTATTATTCTATCACTATAATCACTCCCGTCCAAAGCCCGAAGGAACAATATCCATAAGCGGGACCTGCGTTTCGCTCCCAGTATCCGAAGGACTGCACACCCGGCTTGGATGCCGAACTATCACTCGGAGTGAGATCCACTGCTGAATGTCACCGACTATATAGTCTATAGTCATGGAAAAGTCCCCCGATCTACCTCTCTCCTACCCCGGGATATTACCCGAGAATATTCCAAGTGGGCTGTATCTCAAGAATACGGATGTCGGGTGCTGTCGGTATTCAGAGATATCATCTGATGATACTCGGATATCTCAGCGGGTTACCGTGCGGTGGGATTTGAAGTGTGGAGGGGATAGAGCATGGTTGTTGTGCTGTGTATGCTTTGTGTCGAAGTCGACTCAGGTATTGTTTTGAGCATTATCTTGCATTCGTATTCTTCCTTTCATTTTACCTTTGGAATTCTTCCATCATAACTTGTGGTCGATTCTCGATCTTACAGAGGAATATCAGATGTTAATGTCAGATGTTAATGATAGACAAGATGAGATGCTAGGTTTAAGTATATTTTCTGAGTGATTATTTATGCAATAGATGAATAAACTCTCAAGTTTTAATGTACTTTAGATACTCTGGCTCAAACACACCAATAGATGCAGAGGTGCTAAGGCTATAGAAGCCATCTACAGGCTTGATACCCTATGAAGGATATGCAACAAAAGAATTTAGAGAAGTATTGATCGGAAGCGATTCGCTAGTTTGTTGGTCGCTTACAGAGAGAGTGAATATCTACAAGGAATAAACGAGAATCAACGAGCTTGATAACTCTACCGCTCAATTTTACATTGGCAAGTATCTCTGAGCAGAGATGTATATAAAGCTCATATCTACTCGTGTAATTGCGGACAGTGGGAAATACCAACTCTTACTCCATTGTGGATTCTTTACAATTATACCACGGCAATGTATTGATTCCAATATCATATCCATCCATTGCGGAACTTGAATTTTTCAAGTACTTCGATTTCAGAGGGATAGGACCAGTGAAGACAGAGAAGGTCGAGATTCGGGAAAGGAGAAGTCATTACATGGTTTATGAGCAGTGAAATACGGTGCTTTGGGACTTGAATGAAAAGAGGAAAGTTGAGATAGGTACAGATACGAATGCAGCAAGCAGCAAGTGCCAAGATAGCGTTAAAAATTTGTATATAATCACCAAAGCAATCGTATTGACAATTAGCAAGCAAGCACCACAATATCTTACCATGATACACATAATTGTGAATGGTACTTTTAGAAGTATATCAAGACCCGTGAAGTAAAAGGTTGTGAATATTTATTCTCATGCACAGTTGATTACTCTCTCTCTCTCTCGCTTTTATAGGGAACCCGCAAGAGTATAAGGTATAAGTACTAAACCCCCTGTCGTCTAATTTCTGTACTCTAGAGAGATCCCCTATCCCCCTTTCAATAAGATAGCCCTGCATTCGTTTATTTTCTGCATACATTTCTTAGCGAATTTTCAATACCGCACTTCATTTTCATGTTTTACTACCTACCTAAACTAAACCATCTATT